AGGGTGAGGCAGGAACGGAATGCAGCTACGAGCAGCCTTGGAGGTGACAGATGTCCGCTATTGTCCTTGGATGAGACGATGTGGATGAGATGGTGTTTTGACTCCTGGTCAGTCGGCATGACCCTGCTTATGGGTTCTGCTTGCTGGATTCACAGATGGGTCACCTGCTCAGTTGCATCGCACAGGCCTTGAAAAGGAAACTTAAGAAAAATGTAAACATCTATCTATCTATCTATCTATCTATCTATCTATCTATCTATCAGCCCAAGTGACTGTTATTAGCAGTCGACCAAACAACCATTTGATTGAACGACTGGTCACTATGACACACACTGTCTATCTGGGGGCAGATGCTCAATGCAGGAGCTGCCCCCTGGTGGTCAGTGCACTCCCACAACCAACCTCTACAGAGGAAGGAACTCTGGCTCAGAAAGGTTAAGTAACTTGCCTGATGTCACCCCGCTAGCAGGTGGCAGACACAAAATGCCCCCACTATTCTTCAGCCTCCCCATGCGGGGAGCTGTGGGCCATGTATGAGGGCTCATCGCTGTTGAAGTTTCCCACAGTTCTCTACCCCTTCCAGGCACCCAGTGCTCAGAACCCAGGAGGTGCTCTGGAAATACGTTGTGAATGGATGGATGGAATGCCTGCTGAATGGAACTATGAATGAATCAATTTATAATGATTTGTTTTTGCACTGATGTGACTGAAGTATAGGCTCCTCATGGGCAGGGACCCTAGGGCAGAAGACATGTGGACTCTGCGGTCATCGGATCTGGATTATAATACTGGTGTGGCCCTTATTTGCTGAGTGACCCAAGTGAGTTTCTGAACCTCTTGGAGCCTGTTTTCTGAGGTCTGGAGGCAACGCACACGAGATGCTGCATCTGTGTGTGGTGTTGCCCTGGTGCTCAGTAAAGACCTCAGAAGAGGAATGGAATTGGCTCAGAATCTCCCCACAGAGGCCCGGGGAGCCTGGAGAATGGGGGGAGAGTTGGCTGTGATGGAGAGTGGCTGCTTCAGAATCACCTGGGCGCATGTATGTCCCACTTGCATAGTCCATGTCGAGGACCTGACTGAGGAGAGATCTATCTGCCTTACAGGGTCCCTGGTGGTCTGGAGGCTGACCGAGGGGTCACTGTTGGAAAAACCCTGGAGGAGACTGTGTGCTGAACAGACAGGAAAACGCATGTCTGACCGAGAGAGGGACAGGAGGGGTGTCGGGCCAGGCCTCCAAGGACAGCAGGATTTCCTGTGCCTTTTGCTGCCTGATAAGGAGAGGAGAGGCCCTGGGCCATCTCCACCCCAGCGATGGGCCCTGAGTAATTTATGAATTTATCTGGTCCCTCTGAGAACCTCATGAATTCTTACGCCCTTTGTAGGCCGCCACCCGCTGGGTCTCCGTGGCCCCCTGCCCTCCCCATCTGTTCCCCACGTGAGGCTCAAAGGACAAGGCCAGGCCCCCTGCTGTGACCTTCAGGCGATAACCTTTGAAGGAATGGAATGTCCTCCTCGCAGGATCCAGAGCTCCCTGCGCACATGAATTATGTATCCAGGACGTGGCCTCCCAGCAGCCTGGCATCTGCCCCTGTAACCGTGTCCTCCATGGGCACTGTGTAAAGAGGTACCCCCTGCCCGGCCCTCCCTGGATCATGACCCGCTGGGATGAGGCCACCCAGGCGCCTTACAGAGAAGAGAGTGATGTTTCCCATGTACAGAGCTGCTAGGTGCGTACCCGTCAGTGGGCGGGGCCAGCAAGGTGCCCAGGCATCCGATTTTAAGGAAACAGGCACGCTCAGGGTTGCACAAGTGCAGGATTGGCACCCGAGAATGTGTGCCGCCTTAAATGCTGTGCTTCCTTAAATTTAGTCTTAGTCCTGGCTAATTCCATGGAGAGAGGAGAAGTCATTACAGTAAATGGTGCTGGCACAGTTGGACATCCTTTTGGGAAAGAACAACAAAAAAAAGAACCTCAAGCTTTAGTTCACATCATATATAAAACCAGAAACAGGTCATAGACGTGAACATAAATGCTGTGGCCATAACACTTCCTGGGAAGATGGGGAGGAAGAAGATCTCCCTGACATTGAGGTAGGCAGCGGTTTCTTAGATCACAAAACTCACTCATAAAAGAACAGGGAAAAAAGAGCCATTGGATTTTATCAAACGTAAGAACTTTTCTGTGACAAACACCATTGAGACCATGGAAAAAAGCCACGGCGGAGAGAAAACATTTGCAGATCGGACACCTGACAGAGGCTTTGTCTCCAAAGCACAGGAAAAACGCTTACATCTCAATAATTAAGTGACGAGTGATCCAATTTTTATTTATTTTTTTAAGATATTTTATTGATTTTTTACAGAGAGGAAGGCAGAGGAATAGAGTTAGCAACATCGATGAGAAAGAAACATCGATCAGCTGCCTCCTGCACACTCCCCACTGTTGTTGTGCCCACAACCAAGGTACATGCCTTTGGCTGGAATTGAACCTGGGACCCTTGAGTCTGCAGGCCGAAGCTCTATCCACTGAGTCAAACCGGTTAGGGCATAATCCAATTTTTAAAAATGGGTGAAAGCCTGGAACAGGCTCTCACAGCAGAAAGCATACCAATGGTGGATGATGAGCATGTGGGAGACACGCTCCACCTCCCCACCTCTCTACCCCCCACCCCCACCCTCCACCCCCCCAAAACCCCGCCCCCACTGCCCCCATCAGGGAGACGCTGGTGTGGGCTGTAACTCAGCACTGTGACACCCACTAGAACAGCCGAGTTGAAAACGATGAGCACACCCAGTGCTGGTGAGAAGAAGGAGGAATGGAGTTCTCATCCACTGTCGGGAGGAATGAAAAGAGTCCAAATGCTAGGTAAACAGTGAGGCAATTCCTTATCAATGGAAAACCCAGCAGCTCCATGCCTGCGTTACTGCCCAAGACAATGAGCACAGCCGCCTCTACAAAGACGTGACCGGCGCTGTATTCACAACAGCCCCAAGCTTGGACACGATCCAAACGTCCATGGCAGGAGAACGGGCAATCCTGTGGACCATCCGGACATCCCCCTGCTATTTGGGCGTAACAGGGAGCTACCGAGATATATGCGGCAACATGGGGAGTCCCAACACCATCCTGCTGAGCGGAAGAAACCAGACAGGAAGGAGCATGTTCCCCGTGATTCCGTCTACAGAATGATCCCGGAAAGACACAGCTAACCTGTAGTGAGAGGCACCTGCCCGATCTCACCACCTGGAGAACAGAAACCTGGGGCTGGGGAACATGGGGGGGGGGGGGGCTGCAGAGGACAGAGGGAGCTTGTGGGGTGAGTGGGATGTTCCCTCACTTGATTGTAGTACTGATTACATGGGGGGAGGGGGGTGCCGCACCAGCACAGCCAGGTTCAGTGAGCCTGAGAGGGGGCAGTGAAGGATGAAGAAAAGACAGACAAGAGAATAAAGCTGGGTCTGAGTGGGACGTTGCCCTCTCTGATGAAGAGAGAGCGCCACAACCTGCAAACTGAGTCTTATTTTATACCCAGATTCCACGAGGCAAAGTGAGGGCATGGTCACAATGTTCTCTCAGTTTCGAATCTACTCAATTACATGCACATGACCAAGCTTTGTTTCCCTGCTGCACCACCTGCAGCCTATATCACTCAGCCGTGTGGGCCCACAGGCTTGGACCATACGTCAAGCTTACAACCACAGCCTTTGGCTATAATTGTGCTGGGACTTGCAGGTGGCTTTGCCACGAGAGGATGGTGCCCTCTCATTAGTCCCAGGCTTGAACCTGCCCAGACACTGCAGCCGCTCTCCTCAGGTGTGTACCAGACTCTTCAACCTGTATCTGTAAAATGGGTACATGCATGAAAAGTATATGTCAATAGAGTGGTTTACCAGCAAAAGTAGTTCCATTCAAGCTTTTGTTGGAAACTTTTTTTTTTTAATGATTTTTTACAGAGAGGAAGAGAGAGGGATAGAGAGTTAGAAACATCAACGAGAGAGAATCATCAATCAGCTGCCTCTTGCACACCCCCTACTGGGGATGTGCCTGCAAACCAGGTACATGCCCTTGACTGGAATCGAACCCGGGACCTTAAAGTCCGCAGGCTGATGCTCTATCCACTGAGCCAAACCGGTTTCGGCTGTTGGCAACTTTTAAAAAACATAATTTTTTAAATTGATTTCAGAGAGGAAAGGAGAGGGAGAGATAACAATGTAAATGATGAAGAGAACCATGGATCTGCCACCTACAGCATGCCCCCTGCTGGGGATGGAGCCCACACCAAGGCAAGCAAGCACTCTGAGTGGGAATCCAACAGTGACTTCCTGGCTCATAGGTGGAAGCTCAGCCCCTGAGCCACGCTGCCCAGGCAGAGCTCACATCCCTGTAGACACTGTGTCCGGTACATTTTGTCCTTAATTCTCTGGTTCTGTTGTCTTCGATCTGCAGACTGGAAGCCAGGGCTCAGAAAGACGCTACCTTGGCAGAGCGCGCCAAAGAGAGGCCATGTTCAAACTCCCTCTGCCCAGCTCCAGGCCCAGCACGCCGGACCGGGGGCGCAGCTGGCAGACCTCGTTGGGTCACCGGGACCCTGGCCCTCCAGGCTGGGAACAGGCATGCCAGGCCCAGGAGAGCCCTGCTCGCCCCCCTGACGGGCGGGGCTCAGCAGCCCGGGGCGGGGTGGGGAGTGGACTGGGGTTCCAGCACCAACCAGCTCGGTAACCTCAGGCCTCAGTTTCTCCATGGGGCCCACAGAGAAAGGACTGTGAACGCCCAGGGGCTCCGCCGCTCCGCCGCCCCGCCCCGCCCTCGGGGTGGGTCTGGACGTGGTCACGTGCGGGAGCACCCGGTCCACCCGCCCCGCCCCGCCCCGCCCCCGATCCCGATTCCGATCGGATCCCCCCGCCCTCCGCACAGTTGCTGTCTGGAGCCCGAGCGCCGAGCCACCCCGGGCGCGATCGGGCTGGGACGTCGCCGCGCCGGGACCGCCGAGGGGGCGCCCGCCGCCCGCCGCCTGCCCCCGCAGCTGCGATCCGGACGCTGTGCGCCGCCCGCCGCCCCCCGCACTGTGCACCCGCCGGGCCCGCAGCGGCGGCGAAGACTCGGGCGCGGGCGCAGCGGCCCCGGCAGCCGGCACCATGGACCTCTCCTTCATGGCCGCGCAGGTACCGCCCGGGTTAGGGCGGGCTCCGGCCCGGTCTCCCCACCGACCCCTGTGCTGAGCCGCCGGGAGGCCGGGCGGGCACTGGGTTGGGGATCCACGTCCCGTCCTTTGTCCCGCGCCCGGCACCCCCACCTGGTGCGCGCGCCCCGGAGGGCGAGCTTGATCGGGTGCCCGGGGGTGGGCGGGCCTGTGCCCAGACCTCACGGGTCCCCTGTTCCCAGGCTGCGAAGGGCCTGGCGGTGCGGGTCACCCCCGCCCTGTCCACCCCCCTGCCCCGCCCCGCGCCCTGATCACACGCCCCCCCGCCCCCGCCGCCACCACCACCTGCTGTTCCTCTGGGGCGGGCGGGGGAGGGGGGACCCTGGAGCCCTTCAGGGCCCAGCAGCCCAGATGTGTGCATCTGGGTGGCGAGCAGCCTCGCTCTTCCCATTCTGTCTTCCGGAGGCGCCAGGCAATCTGTCAGTTGCCATCCCCCCCTCCCCTTTCTCCTCTTGAAGCGGAGACCAGAGCGGAGCCGGAAACTGCTTTGTGACCCGCCAGGCGCCACGCACAGCGATGGTTTTTTCCTGTTTGCTTTGTGCCCAGTCTGTAGCCATCAGAGCGCGGGACCATAACTCTTCCCCTGCAGAACAGGTTGGGGCACAGGTGACTTCCCATCCTCCATCTCTTTTCCCAGAGAACCCTGGAGCCTTGCGGTCAGGGATCCTTTGTGCCTTCAAGGCTCCCAGCACAGAACACACACACATACACACACACACACACACACACACACACACACGCTCCTCTAGCTGAGTGACCTTTCTGAGCCCAGGGCCAGTCTGGCTCCAGGGAAGGGCCTCGCTGGGCTGGCTGGGAAAATAGGTCCCGATGTACCAGTTCAGAGCCTGCACCGGCTGTAAGGTTGGGTAGTCTGGGGGCTCAGAGGTGGGACGGCCATGAGGCTCCCACTGTGCCCTGGGCCTGTAGCCGGGCCCACTTGCCGCTGTTTCATTTTGCAGGGGTGGAGTTTGAGGGGACACTTTTCTTTCCCCCCAAACTTCTCGGTGGTGGAGGCCTATTTAAAAAGTAACAGTGAAGCCCGGCCGGCGTGGCTCAGCTTGGTGGTTGAGCGTCGACCTATGAACCCGGAGGTCATGGTTTGATTCCCGATCAGGGCACATGCCTGGGTTGTGGGCTTCATCCCCAGTGGGGCGTGTGCAGGAGGCAGGTGATCCATGATTCTCTCTCATCACTGACATTTCTAGCTCTCTCTCCCTCTCCCTTCCCCTCTGGAATCCATAAAGGATTATATATTTTTAAAGTAACAGTAAAATCCAGGCTGACGGGACAGAGAGTCCCCAGGGGCAGGCATGAAAGGAGGGAGGCAGGAGCCCCAGATTGGCTCCAGAGAACCCAGAGCCAGTTCCAGCAGCTCTGGTCGAGTTTGCCATGATGCCGATTGCTCTAGAGTAGGGGTGTCGAACTCAATCAGAGAAGGGGCCAAAATCTAAAATCCAGCCTAAATCGCGGGCCGAATGGTTTACTGAACAGTCAGAAACTGTCATTGTGATGGAAACGCGGCAGAGTGCAGTGATGACAGCGCGGTGCGGGCCACATTGCAAGGCCTGGCGGGACGGATTTGGCCCGCGGGCCTTGTGTTTGACATGTGCTCTAGAGGGCCGCTGGCCTTTCCCCGCCGAGTCCTCGGTCTCCTATTTCTAAACCCACGTGTAAAATATTGCCGCGTGGACATCTCTCACACAGCGGTGACTTCACCTACCTGGTGGCAGGCAGTCTCCGTGGACTTATTTCTAGAGGGGCCAGCGGCTCCCCTTTGGGTCCCCCCGAACAGCTGGCACTTCTGTGGTTAAAAAAATAAGTTGATCTCTGCTGGCTGGAGCATCATGAGTTGCTATGGTAACAAGACAAAATAAACAGAGGGCTTTGGAGCGCCTATAGGCTGAGCCTGCACAGAGATTGGGTTCCTGTTGGTTTGCACTCTGGGTTCCAGTGGCGCATTTATTCCACACTCAGCCCTGGGCATGGGACAAGGGGCAGTGGGGCATGGGGGCGACACCCTGGGTTTATGGGGCACCTTACAGGGAATTGTAATGGGTTTATAGAGCATCTTACAGGGAATCGTGAGTCTGGAACCCAGGTGCTGCCGCCCCCATTTGACAGGTCAGGAAGTCAAAGGTCAACACGATCCAATCATTTTCCTCGAGGACGGGAAGAGCTGGGTTTCAAACCTGGGTCCGGGGAGCTAAGCTGATGCTCTCCCAGAATTCCACCTCGTTGCTTCACCCTGGGACACGGTGGAGATGCAGGGAGGACATAGTTAAGGATGGCTCATCTCTCCGGTGGTCCACGGGGTGGCAATCTGGTGCTGCCCTGTCCCCCTGGGCAGGAACCCTCACTCCTTTCTCTGTGGCGCTGACAGTGCGTGGCCAGCGTGCTGCGGGCGTGCAGTGGGAGGCTGAGGCCCGGTCCCCGCACATCAGCATCGAGCCGTAGGGGAGAGGTGGTCGCACCCCAGCCACGTGCTCAGCAGATGTCAAGTCCCTGCCTTGGGCCAAGCTCCGTGTCAGGCCCTGGGATGGGGGCTCTGGGGGCAGAGCTGCATTCTGGGTACTCCCGGGTATTGGAGAAATGATGAGCCGGGCCATCCCCAGCAGGGGTGACCAAGCTGGCTGGCACGTAGTGGGTCCTCCACAGGTGTCTGCTAGATGGGGGCCAGAGAAGATGCAGGAGCATGAGCAGCTGTTCTCGGGAAAAGGCGGTGCATTGAGGTGCCAGAGGCTCTCCTCCCACAGCCCTGCATCACCGGGCTGTGCGGGCGCAGCTCTGGTGGAGGAGAGCAGGTAAGGTTCCTGGTGGGCCCGGGAAGGAGGGCGTTCTGGGCAGAGGCAGGCAGGAGACCCCTTCCCCCCCACCCATGTACTCAGGGAGGGGTGCAGGGAGCTGGAGGAGAGGCCGGGGCCAGTCACTGAGGCGCCGGCAGGTGGGAGGAGACGTTCACTTGAACCAGCAGGTCTCGGAGCAGGGACGTGGAGGCTGAGCAGCGGTTGGGGCAGACCTCAGCCCCATAGAGCCGCGGTTGCCAACCTGTGGTCACGGACACCTGGTGGTTCGTGAGCTGCCATAGAGGACCAAGCGGAAGGGCTGGGGGAGTCAGGGGCGCACCACAGTTTGACGGACTGACTGAGCCCAAGAACTCAGACCCAAGTGAACCCCAACCCACGCTGCCTACCTTCAGAATTTTGTGAAATGTGATTCCTGTCTGTGGCTCTAAAAGGCCCAGGGGCCCAGCTCGCATGGCTCAGTGATTGAGCATCAACCTATGAACCAGGAAGTCACGGTTTGATTCCCGGTCAGGGCACAGGCCCGGGTTTTGGGCTGGATCCCCAGTGGGGAGTGTGCAGGAGGCAGCCAATGAATGAGTCTCTCTCATCACTGATGTTTCTGTTTCTCTCTCCCTCTCCCTTCCTCTCTGAAATTAGTTAACAATTCTGTGGGGCTTTTTAACCCAGGGGACATAAGCTGTTTCAGAAAGATTTCCCTCTCAAAAGCCAGGCATTGCAGAGACACCCCCGTGGATGGACAGGGTGCACATCGTTATTCGGCAAATCCTCTTAGGCCGCGCATCCTCCGTGCTGCGGGTGCTGGGCGTGGAGGCCCAGCTGTGCTCGGCTTAGAGGCGGCTGTGGCCCTGGAGCTGTGAGAACACGGCTCTCGGACCACACTCACCCTGAGCCCTGGCGGTGCTCAGCCACCTCCTCCAGGCTGGACACACCCAGCACCCCCCCCACACACACACACACACACACAGCCCCCGGGGCCCTGGAGGGTTGGGCAGTGAACAGGAGTCTGTTTCTCTGTGCCAGCAGTGGTCAGGGGGCAGGCTAGCCAGACCCAGGGGCTGGAGAACCACAGACTCTGAGGACTGAGTCATTGGTGGGTAGCCCCTCCCCACAGACGGCCCCCTTCATCCCTTCCCTCCTTCCTGGAAGTGATGCTGCCCCTGCATCAGGGGCCATCTCATCCTTTCTCCCCAGATCCGCGCTGGCCTTGGTGGCTTCCCTGACCAGAGGCCGTGGGGTGACGGGGCCCCGGGGGAGCTGGTAGGAAGCGGGCAGCTCCCTCCGGGAACTCTGGGAATGCTCGCTCTGAGGGAGTCCACCGTCCGCAAGGAATTCGACCTCCACGCTGCAGGAAGGGGTGAACACAAAAGGCGCCTACTGTGTGCTGGCCAGCACGGGGACAGCGCTCCCATTTTCCTGTTTGAGGCGCCTGCAGAGCAAGCACCGCACGAAGCCCAGTCTGGTCTCATCTTGCACTGACCCCAGTGACCTACCTTGACCCTGGAGTGCCAGCTGCTGTGGCCCCTGGACCCCCTGGGAGTGTCCAAGAGTCCTGCTCCCCCCCGCCCCCCGACACTCCCTCAGAGCATTCCTCCCCCTCCCCAGCCGATTCCAGTGTCCAGGCCAGGCTGAGACTGGAGCTTAAACCTCCCTTCAGGGCTGCCTTCCCCTGGCGAGACGGGGCAGATCCGTGGCCCTCTGGTTCCTTTTCGGTCATAAAGGTCATACGGTCCCTGGAAGGCACCCCAGCGTCCATTCAGCTACTTCACATAGTGAGGGCCGGATGGCAGACCTGGGAGCCTGCTCCCAAATGAAGGTTCTCCCTCCCCTCCCTCCGGACCACACCTGCCGCAGGTGGGAAACCTGTGTCAGGGTGTTTACTCCTCCCCCCGCCCCGGCACAGACTGGAGGGGATGGAGAGCCAGGGTGGCTCGGCCACGAGGCAGAGGGGCCAGGAGGGAAGCCCCATCTGCTAACCACTGGACCATCCTTTCATGTCACCTACCACCTCGATGAGCAGTCCAGGTGCTGTGGGGCAGGGGGTTAACCTGAGGGGGTGTTAACCAGGGACCCCCACGGTCAGCTTCAGGACTTCTGGATCCTGCCAGGTACACACAGCATTGTGTTTGTGTGCGTTTTAAACACGTCGTGAGAGAGTTCT